CAGGATTTAGAAGTGTGTTGGACAGAGCTCAGAGGAACTACACTCTTCTTTTACAATGATAAGAAAGCCCCAACAGTGAGTAACATGCTATCTGTGTGATTATGCATTTAATGAAGTGCATCTGTTATTTACATCAACTAATCCTTTGGTGCTCCAGAGATTTCGCTGCATTCTTTTTCTCTCTCATCTGCATAACCAAGCAAATAGTGTCTGACATTGTAATGGAAAGACTGGGATTAAAATAGAGAAACAAGCAACAACTTATTAATTTGTCTGTTGAAAAGAGAAACAAGGATTTTTGGCATCTGGGCTATAAATGTAACCACAGTGCTCCATAACGATGTTGAGTGCTCTTTCCTCAGGTTTGCAAGAGTGTAATATGTCTTCATGTGTAATATGACATTTTTTATGCAGCTAAGGAAAAAGTGCTTGACAGCCCCCAGTACTGAGGCTGAGGCCTTAGTAAGAGTCACAGAACAAAATACTCAGGTGGATCTTGTGGGTTTATCATGCCAGGAATTATGAAGACCGGAATGGGAAAAATCCATCTTTAGTGGATAGTGATGGGCTTTGAGCTGACCATTGTCACTCAGGAACAAGACCTTAACTTTATAATAGATAATTCTATAAAAAGATCACGTCAGCACTCAACATTGGTCAAGACAACAAAGCAAATATTAGGAATTATTGTCAAGGGAGCACAGAATAAGACAGAAAAAAGATCATGAGGCCGCAGTAAAAGCCCACATTTCACCTACACCTTGAATATGGCATGCGGTTCTGACCCCTTCATCTCCAGAATAGGGAAGTAGATCTCAAAGAGATTCAAGCAGGGCAACACGACGGCAAGGAACAGCTCCTGCAAGCAATGACTGAGCAGGCCAGGACTGAAAAGAGGCGCTTATGGAGTATGGGAGAGAAAAGGGATGTGATGGGAGTGTCTTGTTCCATTAACTGTTGGGAGGGGAGTGATAGAGATCTCCACTGCCTCTTCCCAGCGCAAGACTCAGGGGCCACTGAAGTTACGAGCTGAAGGAGGTGGTTCTTCACACGTGCCCAAGCAACTCCATCCTACAGGATGGAGGTGCCAGCAGTTCCCTTGCGGAGACTGAACAAGTCCCACAAACAAAACACACCCACTTCAAGAAATCCTCTGGGCGGCAAGTAGCAGGGGACTGGAAAAGTGCCAGGGTGCAGCTTTCATGTGCCTGTTTCGTTCCTGTGCAAGTGACCACCCCAGCTGCCATTACAGGAGAGGGAGCACTGGTCTGAACTAGCACAGCCATTTTGCTCTCTCTTGCTCCCAGCAGGCTCACAGGGGCTCGTGCTCTTGTGTGAGAGGCAAAGAGTCGCTGTGGCCCATAGGGAGAGCCAGTAAAACAGGAGCATTGAAATGAGTCCAGCTGCTAGGCCCTTAAACAGCATGTCCCTCAAGCCAGTTTTGGTGATGGGCAGCAGAGAGGTTATGCCCCTGTATTGTACATGAGGTAAAAGCCTTCCTGC